ACCTCCTGAAGCACCTGCCCAGGGTCGAGCCGCTGGCGGTGGGCACCGTCTTTAAGCGCTACGCTCCGCTGCAGCCGCAGTGGGAGGGCCACTACGTGCTAATGGACGGGCTCTCCTGGGACGACCTGCCTGAGTTTGAGCGGTCCGACATGTACTCGCAGGTTGCCTGGGGGCTGAACGATCCAGCCTGGGCGGGCTACAGCAAGAACCAGCGGAAGAAGGCCAAGAAGGAGCGCCTGGCGGCCGCGCACGCGGAACTGGAGGCCTATGAGCGCCGCCGCAACCTCCGGGAGGGCAGCCTCGCAGGCGGCGGGGGCGGCACCGGGGTCGCCCCGCGTGCCGCTCCCGCCCGCGCCGCCAGTGCCCCCCCCACTGGCTCGGCCCGCGGCAGCCAGGTCCCGCCACCGCCGCCTGCCGGAGCCCCGCAGGCGGCCATCATGGCCCCGCCGCCGCCGCCGCTGACGGCGCCCCCTGCGGTGCCGCCGCCGCCGGCTGGCCCGCCCTTGCAGCAGATCCCCAATGCCGCCGTCCTGAACGTGCCCTTGGTGAGGATCTCGAGCGCCAGATCTTTGGGCCCCCAGGGCAGGCTGGCGGTAGTGGTGATCTCGGGGGAGAGGTGCAGGCGCTGCCGTCGCAGGTCTTCGCAGCCATTGCGCAGGGGACAGGCCAGTCCGCCTGAGCGCTGAGACTCTGCAGGCCCCCAGCATCGTTTACTTCAGAGCCCTCGGGGGGGCTACGTGAGTTCCCGTGTTAAGATCCCGAGCCTGCCACTCTCTATGATGCTGCGCCTGTGTGCTCGCTTACGCTCCAGCTTTAGCAACGCCGCCGTGCCAGCTTGCGCGGGTGCGCCCACAGTGGTGCCCCCCCTCGCGCCGCGGGCCCTGTTGCTTAGTTCTTCGTTCTTCGCACGGTCAACTGTGCGCCAAGCCATTTTGGCTTGCCATCCTGGCCTCTTCTCGCGCCTACTTGCGCTGGTTGGCCTGGATGGCGGTACTGGGGTCGCCCCGTGTGCTGCTGTGCCGCCGCGGTCGCTTTACTCTGGGCTGTAGGGACCAGTTGCCCTCGGATAAGAGCCCGCCGCTGCATGCACGTCAGACCCGCCATTTCACCCTGAAGAGGTGCTCGCTATATACTGGAAATGAGGCAGCCACAAGGACGCTCATCCCAAGGCGGTTGAGCCGTGGTGATGTGGTGCACGTGTCCGCAGTAGTAGTAGTAGTAGTAGTAGTAGTAGTAGTAGTAATAGTAGTAGTCGTAGTAGTAGTAGTAGTAGTAGTAGCAGTCTTGGTAGTAGTAGTGGTAGTAGTAGTAGTAATAGTAGTAGTAGTAGTAGTAGTTGTAATAGTAGTATTAGTAGTATTATTATTATGAGTAGTAATAGTAGTAGTAGTAGTAGTAGTAGTAGTAGTAGTAGCAGTAGTAGTAGAAAACATAATAGTATCAGTAGTAGTAGTAGTAGTAGTAGCAGAAATAGTAGTAGTCGTAGTAGTCGTAGTAGTAGTAGTAGTAGTAGTAGTAGTCGTAGTAGTAGTAGTAGTAGTAGTAGTGGTAGTAGTAGTAGTAGTCGTAGTAGTCGTAGTAGTAAAAGTAGTAGTGGTAGTCGTGGTCGTAGTAGTCGTAGTAGTAGTAGTAGCAATAGTAGTAGTAGTAATACTAAGAGTAGTAGTAGTAGAAGTCGTATTAGAAATAGTCGTAGTAGTAGTAGTAGTAGTAGTAGTAGCAGTAGTAGTAGTAGTAGTATTAGTATTAGTAGTAATAGTAGTAGCCTTAGTAGAAGTAGTACTAATAGTAGTAGACATAGTAGTAGTAGTAGTATCAGTTATAGTAGTAGTAGTAGTAGTAGTAGTAGTAGAAGAAATAGTAGTAGTAGTCGTAGTAGTAGTAGTCGTAATAGTAGACAAAGTCGTAGTAGTAGTCGGAGTAGTAGTAGTAGTAGTAGTAGCAGTAGTAGCAGTAGTTGTCGTAGAAGTCGAAGTCGTAGTCGTTGCCGTAGTCGTAGTAGTCGTAGACGTAGTGGTAGCAGTAGTAGTCGTAGTCGTAGTAGTAGCCGTAGTAGGAGTAGACGTAGTAGTAGTAGTAGTAGAAGTAGTAGTAGTAGTAGTAGTAGTAGAGTAGTAGTCGTAGTAGTAGTAGTAGTAGTAGTAGTAGTAGTAGTACTAGTAGTAGTAGTAGTAGTAGTAGTAGTAGTAGTAGTAGTAGTAGTACTAGTCGCAGGAACAGTAGTAGTAGTAGTAGTAGTAGTAGTAGTGGAAATGGTAGAAGTCGTAGTAGTCGTAGTAGTAGTAGTAGTAGTAGTAGTAGTAGTAATAGTCGTAGTAGTAATAGTAGTAGTAATAGTAGTCGTAATAATAGTAGTAGTCGTAGTCGTAGTAGTAGTAGTAGTAGTAATAGTAGTAGTCGTAGTAGTAGTTGTTGTTGTAGTCGTAGTAGTAGTCGTAGTAGTTTTGGTAGGAGTCGTAGTAGTAGTAGTAATACTAGTAATAGTAGTAGTAGTAGTAGTAGTAGTAAAAGTAGTAGTAGTAGTCACCGTCGTCTTAGTAGTAGTAGTCGTAGGAGTCGTAGTAGTAGCAGTAGTAGTAGCAGTAGTAGTAGTAGTAGTAGAAGTACTAGCAGTAGTAGTAGTAGTAGTAGTAGTAGTAGTAGTAGTAGTAGTATTGGCAGTGATAGTAGTAGTAGCAGTCGTCGTGGTAGTAGAATAACAATATGAGTGGTAGAAATAGAAGTAACAGTAGTAGCGCTACTCGTAGTAGTAGCAGTGGTAGTAGTAGCAGCAGAAGTCGTAGTAGTCGTCGTCGTCCTATTAGTCGTAGTTGTGGGAGTAGGAATAGTAGTAGTAGTAGTAGTAGTAATAGTGGTAGTAGTTGTAGTAGTAGTCGTTGTTGTAGTAGTAGTCGTCGTAGTAGTCGTAGTAGTAGTAGTAGTAGTAGTAGTAGTAGTAGTAGAAGTAGTCGTAGTAGTAGTAGTAGTAGTAGTAGTAGTCGTAGTGGTAGTAGTAAACATAGTAGTAGCAGTAGTAGTAGTAGTAGTAGTAGTAGTAGTCGTAGTCGTAGAATTAGCAGTCGTAGTAGTAGTAGTAGTAGTAGTAGTGGTAGTAGTAGTAGTAGTAGTAGTAGTAGTAGTGGTAGTCGCAGTAGTAGTAGTAGTAGTAGTAGTAGTGGTAGTAGTAGCAGTAGCAGTAGTAGTTCTAGTTCTAGTTCTAGTAGTAGTAGTAGTAGTAGTAGTAGTACGTAGTACGTAGTACGTAGTACGTAGTACGTAGTACGTAGTACGTAGTTGTAGCAGTAGTAGCAGTAGTAGCAGTAGTAGTAGTAGTAGCAGTCGTAGTAGTAGCAGTAGTAGTACTAGTAATAGAAATAGTTCAGTAGTAGTAGTAGTAGTAGTAGTAGTAGTGGTAAGTGGTAGTAGTAGTAGTAGTTAGCATTGGTAGTAGTAGTAGTAGTAGTAGTAGTAGCAGTAGTAGTAGTAGTAGTAGTAGTAGTAGTAGTAGTAGTGTAGTAGTGGTAGTAGTAGCAGTAGTAGTAGTAGAAGTAGTAGTAGAAGTAGTAGTAGTAGTAGTAGTAGTAGTAGTCAAGGTAGTCGTAGTAGTAGTCGTAGTCGTAGTAGTCGTAGTAGTAGTAGTCGTCGTCGTCGTCGCCGTCGTCGTCGTAGTAGTCGTAGTAGCAGCAACAGCAGCAGTAGTAGGAGGGGAAGGAGGCGGAGGAGGAGGAGGAGGAGGAGGAGGAGGAGAGGTGGGGCGAACACACAAGCAGGAACGGCCAGCGGAGGGCAAGGATGGGGAGGGGGGAGACAGGGGTCGGCGGTCACGTCGTCGGGGGTCGTGGCCGTGGTCGTGGTCGTCGAAGAAGTGCGTCGCCATGCCGCTGGGACCGGCGCAAACGTCGCCGTGAATACAGCCCTGCCCGCCGCTGGCTGCTGCGGGCGTCGTTGTTGTGGTGGCGGCGGTCGGCCTGGGTGGCGCCGTGGTGGTGGTGGTGGTCGTTGTGGTGGTGGTGGTGGTGGGACATGTGAGCCTCACTGGCCTCCCTCCCTATCTCCCTCCTTCCCTCCCTCCCCTTTCCTCCCCTCCTTCTGCCGCGGTGTGGCGCCTGATCGTGTCGCCGCCGCCGCTACTGCTCCTCATGCTTCTGATCCTGCTGCTCCTCCTCCCCCTCCTCCCCCTCCTCCTCCTCCCCCTCCTTTCCTCTCTTGCTCCTCCCTCCTCCTCCCCGTCATCCTCCGCCTCGCACGTAGCATGAGGCGAGACCAAATCTAAGTGGTCACTCATCTCGGCCTGCTACAACATCTGGGCACGTGCAGCACGTGCAGACACTTCCAGAGGCGTCGAGGGCGAGTGACTATAGGCATTGCAAGGGTAAATAGCAATGATTACCTTTGTCCAAGGAGCTGGCTAGGCCAAGACGTTTGTCCATATGATCCCGCACTGGCGAATCTGGGAACCAGATGCCCTGGATAGCCTGCCACATCAGCAGGAAGCTAATCTAATATGGCTGGGAGTCGATCGCGCCAGCCCCATTGCATTCCAAGTTTGCACTGGCAGCCGGTGTGTGACATCCTCAGCTCCGTCGTCCACTCGCCCCCAGGGTTTTTCAGCACCGATATTTGCCAGGAAGGAGGTGCACAGACCAGGCGGAGGCGGAACTTCAACTTGGGCAGACTTATTACCTTCAACGCCTGCTGCGAAGGCGGCCAGAAGCCCAGGAAGAAAGCCGCTTCACAAATGTCGTATGTGACTTATCACGCAACGAAGACGAACATAGTGCAGCGCACGGGCACCAACTCGCTGAGTCTTGGTCCTGGGGTTCCCCTGGCGCGGCTCGTCCAGTAACTCCTGGACATACGAGCGCCTCCCCTCAAGTGGAGGAAGCTCGTCTCCGAGCCCAACAAGCGATCGGACGCAACGAGCGAGCATTAGCCTGCTGGTGGGCCCACAGGGTGCCCCACCCTTCCCCTTCCTCCCTCCTCTTGCCTCCCCACACTTTCCCTCTTCCCCCTGACAAGGCCTCGTCCTGCAGCTTCTTGGCGAACTGCCACAAGTACTCCCTTTGGGAAACGGGCGGGGGACGCAGCTGGAGAAGGTGGAGGATGAGGAGGAGAGGGGGAACTGTGAGGAAAACGAAGGGGGGAGGATGAGGGTGGAGGGAAAAAGATGGGAGGGACAAGGTACAGGAGGCGAGGGGAACTAATACAGTTATGGTTGTGGGGGATGAGGAAGAGGATGAAGGTGTAGAAGTAACGTGGCGTCGGCTGAAGGATGAGGAGGATGACGACCAATGTAAACCCAAGACGCACCAACGATATGGCAATATAGGCTCCTACAAGGGGTCATTCTCAATGAAGGAAGTGCCCCGTTGTTTGAAACTCCTTAGCTGGACCACAACACCATTCCTGGGATTTCAGCGCCGAAAATCACCTTTTTTTCTGTTCCTAGATCGTGCTGGAACACCACTCCTGGGACTCCACTACCACGAATCAACGTAACTGTTGCGCCCTGATGGCCAAACATCGTGCCAACACACTATTTGTTGGGACGTCAGCCATGGAAACCCTGAACACTGCTGTAAACTCTCCAAACGCATGCACGCAACGCTACAGAGAGAGCCGCATGTTGAACATTCGCCGCCCTCCAGCCGTCAAGTTCGTGCATTTGTCCAACGAACGCGCAACGCTACGGCGATAACCACAATTTGACATCGACCTGCACTCCACCCGTGCATTTTTCTAAACAAGAAGCGAGCGTGCGCGGCGCTAAAGCGAGAACTAGAGCTTGGAAACCACCCACCCGCCATCCGCGACCTTCGGGCAACTTTTTAAGACGGACGTGCGCGGCGCTAAAATGATAACCACATTTTGAAAACGCCTTGCTCTCCATCCGTGAAGCTTTTGACCATCCGGAGCTTCAGAATCGTAAGTGGTGAAGAGGTCTCATGCGAAACGCCTGGCCCGCCCTTTCGGCCGGCCTCGGGGTGCGAGATGGGGGCAGTACTTGTGAGGAAAAGGCATGGAGGAGGAGGAGCAGGAGGAGGAGGAGTACGAGGAGAAGGAGGAGGAGGAAGACCAGTGTAAACCCAAGAGTCATCAACGATGTTGGAATAAACCCACCAAGCTCCCTCTTCATAGGCCCCTGCAATGGTTCACTTCAATTGACGGAACTGCCTCGTTTGAAGACAACCGTTTCAAGACCCGGAAGCATGCCAAAACATTGTTCCTGGGATTCCAACGCCACGGATCAACGTGACTATTGCGCGTTGGCGACCCTGGGAATTCAACACAGCGAATTACTGTAACTGTTGCGCTCGCGTAATCCTGAATCCTACGTTGATGATGGGAACCCGTAAAACTCTTACAAACATTGCAAACGAATATGCGCGGCGCTAAAGCGAGAACCACATTTTGAAAAAGAGCCGCCCTCGAACCTTCCTCCCCCTCCCCTCCGTCTCCCAACTTCTCCCTGCTTTTCGTCCTCCCCCTCCCGTCCTTCTCCCAACCTCTCCCTTCCCGTCCCTCCCTCTCTCCCTACTCCTCCTCGGGCGGCGGCGTTCGAGGGACGATGGCCGCACGTCCTTTTGAGCTCCTGCGAGGCGGCTTGCGGCACGAACTTGATGTTAGGCGTCTGGCCCATGTTAACCTTCGCAGCGCGCCAGGGGCTGCATCGGTCAGCACCGAATCGGTAACTCTCTCTCTCTCTCTCTTCCCCCCGTCGCTCTCTCTCTCTCTCTCGCTCTCTCCCTTCCTCCCTCTCTCCCTCGCTCTCCCTGTCTCAGTATGGGAAGAGGGTCGGCTACGGCGACTTTGGGTCCTCGCCGTCTGGATGCTTAGCGGCTTGAGGCCAACGCTGGGCGCGCAAATCCTGCCCGACATCATCGGTGAGCTCCCCAGCGTCGAGATCGCCCGGGAGTCTCCCCGCCCCTGGAGTGCAGGGCGAGCAATCATCGGATCGGGAAATCGGATCGAATCGACATGTGCGACGTATCGGGCCGCATCGGCACGGAGTCGGAATCGAATCGGACCGGCCGCGCTGGGATGCACAATAATGCCACAGAAATGTCGGGCAACATCGGGTCGTCGGAATATCGGACTCGAATCGGACCAGGCTGGCCGAAATCAATAGCGAATTGGATCGATCGGATCGAAATTGACCCTGAGGGGTAGTACCTCTGCCCCTACACTTTTTGGATACGTACCTCACCTCCCACTCGTCTACCACCAGGCGTGTCGTTAGGGCGGTCCGGGCGTTGCGCCTGAGGCTTCTGCACGTTGTGCGATCCTGAAGCTTACACTCCCTCACGACTACCCCTTACTTCTGCCGCCCCTTCAGGTGCTTCTGGGCGGCGCCCCCCGCCTTCGTGGCGAGCTGCGACCGCAGCTTGGGGGCTAGCACCTCCAATTGTCGCTGCACCTCGGAGGCGCCCCGGCCCATCGCCGGTGGCCGTCCGCGCCGCCCCAATCGGACCGCGAACAATGGCCACACGAGCGGCGCCGGGATGACGAGGTGGACGCGGGAAGGGTGAGGAGGTGGAGAAGCAGGGGCGAGGCGGAAGGAGGCGAAAGTAGAAGGGGGGGAGACCTGGGGCGGGAAGGAGGATAAGGATGAGAAGGAGGAGGAGGATGATGAGGGGGGGAGGGGGAGGGAGAGAGAAGGGGGGGGATAAGGAGGGAGAGACAGGGCTTCCTCCCACCCCTTCCCTCCTCCTCCCTCCATATCCCTCTCTTCCTCCTTCACATCCTCCTCCTCCCCCCTCTGCTCTATCCCTCCCCTCTCGCGAGACGATGCGGGTGTCCCTGGACGGCTTTCGGCGAAGCGCAACTGCGAGAAAGCACCACTGGGGCAACGCGCACAAATCTTCGTAGATCACCGAACCACTCCGAACTTGCGAATAATCACCGCAGTCTCCCTCCTCCTCCTCCTCCTCCTCCTCCTCCTCCCAAGCCTTGAGGCAGCGGACATTGACGTCTGTGCTAGACGCTGCCCCTCCCGGGCGGCCCACGCCGCCAGAACGGCGGAAGTTAAAGCAGCCGTCAAGGCGATGGGCGATGGGGCACGAGGGAGGAGACCTCCTGAGCAGGGGAGGAGTATGCCTCCTCCCCTGGAGGACGAAAGAACAGCACAAGCATCAACCCTCGGCTCGGCGGCGCTGGAAGCGCCGCCGGGGGGTTGCCAGCGCAGGTCCACGAAATCCGCGCGGAACTCCGAGAGTCTGAGCTCCTGCGGCTTTTCCCCTGAGATCCCCCTCCCCCCTCCTCGGGGAGCCGCGAGCGGCGATCGCCGATCGTGCGGTCGGCAGGCGCCGGGCGCCGCGCCCACGCTGGGTCGTGGGAGGACGTCAGGCTACCCGCGGGCCGCGCCCGAGGGGCGGCCAGGAAGCTCAGAGAGGAAGAAGGAAGGAAAGCAGGAGCGACGAGCATCGGGCCAAGAATCCGGATCGGATCGGAGAGTGCGTCGGATCGGGCCGCACCGGGTCGTCGGACCGTCGAGCTCGAGTCGGATCGTGCCGGGTGAAATCGGTACCGCATCGGATCGACCAGATCGAATGGGCCCTGGGAGGGTGGGGGCAGGGGGGAGGCAGAGAGATCACTATTATATACACGTGTACACATTTACATGTTCAGCATATGAGTATAAACTGTATGCGGGGAACGAGAGAGAGAGAGAGAGAGAGACATACATAAATAAATGTAGAGAGATAACGAGAGAGAGGGCGAGGGAGAGAGAGAGAGAGAGAGAGATGGAGGCATAGAGGGGCGATATATACATATATGTATCGATATGTATGCATAGGATTGGTTATACGTCTCGTTTCTTTTTCTGTATGTATGACTATAAAGATGTGCGCGCCGAGAGAAACAGCAAGAGACAATGATATCCAGAGAGAGAGAGAGAGCAGAGAGAGAGACGCACAACCAGATCACGAACCTCTTCGCGGGGTACGCATCGAAGTAGCGCCAGTAAGCATAGCATTGTGATGTGGATGAGGGGGGTTGGTGTGTATAAGAGATACAAGGGTATGTGTACACACACATGTGTGTGTGTGTGTTTAGAGAGAGAGAGAGAGAGAGAGAGGGAGAGAGAGAGAGAGAGAGAAAGAGAGAGAGAGAGAGAACGAGAGAGAGAGGCACATAGAGAGAGAGAGAGAGACGGACAGACAGAGAGAGAGAGAGGGAGAGAGAGAGAGAGAGAGAGAAAGAGAGAGAGAGAGAGAGAACGAGAGAGAGAGGCACATAGAGAGAGAGAGAGAGACAGGGACAGACAGAGAGAGAGAGGGAGAGAGAGACAGAGAGAGCGAGAGCGAGCGAGTGAGAGAGAGAGAGAGAGAGCGAACGCGACACATGCATGTGTCTTGCAAGGGCATGTGCATACATGTATACAAATAAGCATATGAAAGGAGAGAGGCATCTACACACACATATATATAGAGAGAAAGATAACTAGAGCGAGAGCAGGGGGAGAGAGAGAGAGAGAGAGAGAGGGAGACATAACAAGAGAGAGAGAGAGAGAGACAGGCAGACAGAACGAGAGAGAGAGGGAGCCTCAGAGTAGTGTACACATAAAGATAGAGGGGCGGGAGAGAAGCGCACGGAATATGAACCTCGAGGGGGGCACATTAACTTAATATAGTCATGACGCTGGCGTATCACTACGAACATCGCGCACGCATGGCGAACGACAAATATTGCGTACGCATGGTAAACATTGCGCATCTGTGATCACATCCAAGCCGCGTCGATTGCTGCACACGATGGCGATGGCGTCATCAATCGTTGCCGTGCACCCTCCTTCTTCCTCCTCCGTCCTTCTCCCCGTCTCCCTCCATCTCCCCATCTCCCTTCTTCCTCCTTCTTTCTTCTCCTCCGCCGCCTCCCTCTCCCTCCCAAAACGGCGAGGGCGCGGGAGACGGCCCGTGTGTGGCGCTCGGCCCCGATTGATAGTAGACCTCTTGCGTCTGCCGTGGCCGCTTGGCACGCACCTCCACGCAGAACCGGGATGGAGGAGAGAGGGAGTGAGAGAGTGCAAGAGGGAGAGAGAGTGAGAAAGAGAGAGAGAGAGAGAGAAATAGAGAAACAGAAACAACGAATGAGGGAGGGAAGAGGGATGGGGGGTGTATGGGTTATACCTATATAGCGAGAGAGAGAGAGAGAGAGAGAACAAAACAACAAATAAAGAGAAAGAGAGAGAGAGAGAGAGCCAACCAAGCAGAGTGGAATCACCACTTGCTTACATACACAATGTAGCCAGCGTGGACCCCACACTGCGATGCTGCGCTCTGGAGGTAAACGCTATGCAGTGTACGCTGTGTGGTGAACGCTATGTGTGTAAACTATGTGGTGTAAGATTTGGAGGTGGAAACTATGCGGTGTAAGCATTGCGGGCCGGAACATGGTGAAATCCTCTGGGCCCCCCCCCCCCCAGCAGGTTGCAACGGGCGGCAACCGGCAGGAACGTGGCGAATCCTGGGGACAAGCCCACAAGCGGCGACGGCCAGCAACGGGCCGGAACGAGGCGGATCCCCGGGAGACCCCCACAGTCGGCAACGGGCGGCAATTGGGCGGCAACAAGCCAAAACGTCGCGAATCCTTGGGACACCTGTCCAACTCCTTAGAAACGCAAGCAAACAACCCTAAGTGTAAGCACTGCATGGATAAGATGTGTACGTATGTATACGCACATATGTATATACACCCATGTCGTTCTGTACATTGGTACGCACGCACACGGTATATCTACACAGACAAACACCGATATAGGAATGTCTATCTATACATCTGCATACATATCCAAATGCCAACCTAGCTTTATGGAGAACGGACAAGGTATATACACCTTCATATACACATATATATAAATATATCTAGATATATCTATATTTGTATTTATACATACTGAGTCAGGGCGGGGTGGGGGGTGGAGGGTTAGGGATAATACATATCTGTCTATGTATACAAATGGAATAGCAAAAAATAATTAGAGAAAGAGAGAGAGAGACAACACATAGAGAGAGAGAGAGATAAAGATATGGATATACATATACATATATATATAGAGGGATATACAGAGAGAGGGGGAGAGAGAGAGAGAGAGAACAAGAAAGAGAGAGAGAGAGAGAGAAAGAGAGACACAGAGAGAGGGAGAGAGACGGAAATAACAATACTGATACAAGTGCATGCGAAGCAGGCAGATAATGGAGGTGTGGGCGGTCAGGAACACACATCTGTCTATATATGTATAGACATACACACAGAGAAACTGAGGAGAGAGAGAGAGAGAGAGAGACAGAGAGAGAGAGAGGGAGAGAGAGAGAGAGAGAGGAATATAGAGAAAGAGATAAACATAGATAAACATGGAGACAACGAGAGCGAAAGAGAGAGAGAGAGAGAGAGAGAGAAGAGAGAGAGAGAGAGAGAGAGAAACAGACAGAGAGAGAGAGAGAAAGAGAGGGGTAGAGAGAGAGAGACAACACATATAGAGAGAGCGAGAGTCTGGAATTGGAATGTCCTCTGGCCCCTTCGAATTGGACTGTCCCCCGGTCCCTTCGAGTTCTCGGTGCTGGCTTCTGTTCATATTTTTAACGGCCAGCCCGGAAGTGTGGGCGCTCCCGGGCGCTGCTGGGGGGTCCCCGCCTGACTTGTCGAGAGGCCCTAAGAGCGCGTTGTTCGGGGCATGCATGTCCCGCGTGGTTTCCGATGGTCCCGGGGGGCTGTCCTGGGGCCCTTTTCGCGGGCTTTCTTGGAGGCCTTGGAAGGCAGCCCAGATGATCAAGCTCGTTGAAATCAATTAAATGTTGTCAGGTTTTCAAATTGCCACCCTCTCGGCCTTCAGGGCGTCCAACACGGCCCATCGGGTGGCCAAAATCTGCCCGAAACGACCCAAGAAACCCCAAGATGGGCCCGATAGGCGTCCGAGACGGCCGCAAGAGGGCCCCCAAAAAACATTGCCATGACCTGACATGCTAAGCCTTCCGCTCCAAGATGGCCGCAAGTTCCCCCAACGAGCCCCCGAGCTGCGCCCAAGAGTCCCCAATGGGCCCCCAAGGGGCACCGAGATGCCCAAATCAGGCCCAAGAGCCCCCAAGAAACTCCAAGACATCCCCAATGCCGCCGCCTCCAAGCGCCATCCGAGAGGCCTCCCAAGAGATCCCCACAGGCATCCAGGAGGCCTCCGACCTGCAACCCAGGCGCGGTGGCAGGATGGGCCGAAGGTCGTCATGTAATTATCCGCCCCCCCCCTGTGCTTGTCGCAGGGGTTCCTGGCGCGCTGAATCCTAAACGGTTTGGCATTGGTTCTTTAGCTTGAAACTGGTCGGGAGGTCCAACCAGATGCTTCGCCTTTGGCGAAGCATGCGCCCAACTCTTTTGTGCCGTATCAGCGGTAGTCCCAAAAGTAGGAAGCAGCCGCGAAAGCGGCGGTGCATCTCAAAAGTGAGGATGATGCGTTTCTGTCTCGATGTATGGAAGTGCGCCTCAGAGAGCCGCGGTCAAATAGGTGGCCGGTCACTGGACCGAAATGGCCGCGGACAAACGCTCGATACATCTCGCCCATGCCCTAATCGGGGGGGAAGACGAAGTGCGAGTCCGCTGCCGGCATTGCCCAACAAAACAACTATAGCACACCGAGGTATGCAGGAGCCGGCGGGCTCAACCTAGGCAGGTTGACCCGCGGGCAAGTCGCCCCGCAGCGAACTACTCCTCAAGCGGCTTAGACGGTCTCGTCTGGCCCGCCCTGTAGGGGCTGTGTCGCTTCAAGTCGCGATTGAAAGATTGCGCGCCTCCCATGACTTGTAGGAGCATGACTCTGTCGATGATCCACTTGGCGCGGCCATCCGCAGTCGTTTCGCGAGTGTCGCACCAGCGCACGCAATGCACGACGCATCGCTCCATCACTTGCCACATCCAACTAATGTAATCCATGACTGTGCACTCAGTCGGCTTCTTCAGGTCTTTGCTTGACAAGGACTTGAAGACGGATTTAGCATCAAGTGTCAAAGTGACCTTAATGCTCAGGCCGCCCATCTCCCGTATATTCTTCAGTTGAGCGCGCGTCAGCGGCCCTTCGTGGAGTTCGTGCAGCGCAACCAATCGTGGGACAGCAGTCCTCCAATTTTGGGGCCGCTGCTAGGCGTTTCCGCCGAGTAGCTCGAGCGGGCTTGCAAGCGATGAGACTTGCAGCGCGCGCCGGCAAGATGGGTGACAGGCTTACCAGCATGCGTGTGTCCACGCCTTAGCAGGTTTGCCCCGCGAATGCCATGGCCTTTGACTTCGTCGTCGGCATCGCCGTTCAGGCGACGGTAGCCGGAGTCGCTATGTAGATCGGCCTCGCCCGTTGATGTCATCGCTTGGTAAAAGATCGTCCCAGGGCAGGCCTGCAGCTTCCTCGTAGTCGCGCTAAGTCGTAGCACTTGCATATTGGTCGTATCTTGGGCACGCCGTAGCGATGCGACACATGCCATGAACCGCGCCATTGTGAGAGGGGCGCAGGCCAAAGCGCTTCTGCAGCTGACGAACGTGTCCGTGACCATCTTCGATGCCTTAGCCTCGGCATCTGCGCCCCTGAATTCATGGTGCTTGATAAGACGGAGCTGTTTTATGTATTCGTTTCGGTCAAGGGTAACATTGCCGCCGCTGTCCTTCGCGTATATTACGGCACAATTGGTATATCTGCCTACGTCGAGATTACATTCCCCAAAAGTGTCCTCAACGCACTTGACGCACTCCTCGATGGTGCCCTCGGTGCCGGCCATGTCTATATCAAGATGCTTGATAGTAAGAAGGTCAGGGCTGGCCTCGAACTCTTCGTCGTAAGACGTGAATCTTAGACCGAAGCTTCTTGTGGTCTTCCTGAGCTTCAGTGAGAAGGCTCCTGGTGCATCTGTGGTGCCAGTGCCTGGTTTAAGGCACTGTAAGCAGTGTCTTGACTCATCATAGTGCTCGAGCCCTGGCGGAGATCTGAGCGCAGATGCTGAGCCACGCGGCAACGCGAAGCACGTCGCGCGTTCCTTTTCGCCGGTTGCTTCAGCGAGCTCACGATACGTAAGTCCCTTCAGGAAGGCCATGTTGATGTCAAGGGATTCAATGATCCGCTGCTCCCTGCGCGCTGCCGCGCAGGCGAGCAATCGCTGGCTTGGCCGCCGCGCAGTTCCTGAGAACGTTTCTACGTCGAAGGCTTCGAGGTCCATGACAACCCGAAGTACCAATCGCAATCTGATGGCACGCTCCATCTCGCCCTTTTCGTTCTTGGCGAATTTCCCCAATCAGAGCTTGTTCCCCAATCAGAGCTTGCTTCTGTAAGGGTCCTAGCGGATATAAAACTGAAGTGAGGTCGGTGGCCGATTTCGGTGGCCGGGGCCGGGTGCCCAGGTGCCCGGGGGTGCCCGGGTGGCCAATTTCGGTGACCGGGCCCGGGTGCCCGGGTGCCGGGGGTGCCCGGGGCCCCGGGTGCCCGGGGGTGCCCGGGTGCCCGGGGGTGCCCAATAGCCCAATAGCGCAGTAGCCCTATAGCCCTATAGCCCTATAGCCGTATAGCCCTGTAGCCCTATAGCCTTGTATCCCCATAGCCCTAATAGCCTTATATCCCTATAGCCCCAGAGCCCATATAGCTCTATAGCCCCATCGCCCTATAGGTCACAGTCCTATAGCCCTATAGCCCGATAGACCTATAGCCCTATAGCCCGATAGCCGTATAGCCCAATAGCCTTAACGAAAATCTGATTGGGTTTTTTTCTCTGGTATCATTCTATTTATATGCGTATCTCGGAGTCATGCTGTCTGACGCCTTGGATGTATCTCGTATCTTGAAGCACTTGTTGTCAAACCATGTCTTGAGTTTAATATATAGCGCCTTCGACGCCTTGACTGGATTCGCCTGAATATCTGCCCTCATGAGAAGGTCGCCCCCCTTGGCGACTGCAGTTCGCGGAGCTGCCGCGGTCGCAAATACTCGCGTAGTGGTGACGCGGTCGAAGTCCAATGCCCTGCGTTG